ATGGTTCGAGGGGAGGGGGTTTGGTCGCTTAATTCCCCCCCCCCCCCCCCCCTTCCCTTCCGGATAAGGAAGGGACTGGTAAGGACTTTGGGGGGGACTCCTCCCCAATTTTTTTTTTATATTGTGGCGTGGGAGTCCCCCCTCCCAAAATCTATACCAATCCAGAAGGGCTTGGTGTGGATGGGAGGGGGGACCCCACGCCGTTTAAAAAAAAAAAAAAATTTATTAATTGCCGACAATTCTTTCTTTTACATTCAGCTGTCAGCGGGGAATCCCGCTGACAGCTGAAACATTAACACATGGTTGTCACTACTAAAATACTGCATGACTTGATAAAATAACTTATGTGGTATCTTAGTAGCGAATAATCCGGAACTGATTAATTGGTATTCAATGCATTCCTATGGGAAACGACGTTTCGGTATATGAATTTTTTGCTATATGAAAAGTCCTGCAGAATGAATTGAATTAAATTCGTAAACCAAAGTATACCTGTATATGAATTCATGTCTGTTAAAGGTTGTTGCATGTTTATAAGCTCTTTTTAGACATGATTTTTGTATATCTCCTTTCCAAGAGTCTTGATTTTAAAGGCACAGCTTCTAATTTTAAGAGTTATCGTCATAACGATTCTGCTATACTCGTAAGTACTAACTGTAAGGGATGGATGCATCAAGGGGTTTAGGGTGTAAATTTGAGGCATGTAAGATGGTGTTACCAAGCGTAGGTTTGTGGAATAGCTGGCTGGCTAGACCACCATTCTCGGGTTTTCTCAATGGCCATATCGAGGAATGTTACCTTGTGTGTCATAGGTCATAGTGAAGGTTAAATTACAATAATTTCTGTTCATTTTCAAGACATTTGGTAAGCAGATCACCGGGGCCGTCCCACACAATCAAGATATCAGTATATCTATACTACATGCAAATGTGGTCAGTATACATGGCTAGGGCGTCATCGGCTGTTAATGTACGCTCCCACTCCCCCAGGTACAGGTTAGCATAGGAGGGGGAACAACATGTCCCCATAGCCACTGCCTGCACCTGGAGGTAGTGGGAGCCATTAAAAGTAGTCTTCCTAGCTGCGACATGGTTGCATGCATCCTCAACAGCAGCATTGTTATACTCATGGTTGGCAGCAGATTGTTTTTTTGGATTGTCTTTTTTTTTTTTTTTTTTTTTATTGTGCTTGTCTCTAATGTGATCTTGTTTTCATTCACCATTAAGGGCCCCCCTTATCTCGAGTCAGTGTTGTTGGCGCACGGCATGCGCAGGTCGACGACGTCTCTCTTCTTTGCCGCCTTCCACCTCTTCTCTTCTTTGCCGCCTTCCACCTCTTCTCTTCTTTCTTTGCCGCCTTCCACCTCTCTCTTCTTTGCCGCCTTCCACCTCTTCTCTTCTTTGCCGCCTTCCACCTCTTCTCTTCTTTGCCGCCTTCCACCTCTTCTCTTCTTTGCCGCCTTCCACCTCTTCTCTTCTTTGCCGCCTTCCACCTCTTCTCTTCTTTCTTCTCTTCTCTTCTTTGCCGCCTTCCACCTCTCCTTGCCTTTCTCCTATCCTCGCCTTTTTTGGCCTTTTTTTTTTTTTTTTTTTTTTTGCAAGATGACCAAAGCTCCTCCTTTTTTAAGGCAAATTTTTTTTTTTTTTTTTTTTGCAGTCTGTAATTTCTTATCCCGTAGCCAAAACAGGAAGTGTGAGCAAATCCCTCTGAAATTAGGGAAGCCCAGCATGTCGCCAACGCTAGTTTCACCGTTGAAGATTTCAAACGTCAACCCAAAATTTGGAAATTTCTTTTAATTTCACTTTCAATAATTATAAACAGGACAAAAAGGGTGAATCTCTCTCAAACTTGGCACAGACGGCAATAAATGTCGGTTCATATATGCAGATTAGTTGCTGTTTGAACCGCATCCAATCTCATGACATGTAAAAAAACACTGCTTCCTAAGGTGCCTGCTCACACATGTCTGGTGCATTGGCGGTGCGTATTCAGTGTGGTTTTAAGAGTCGTGTACAATTTCTGAGCATTGCCTTTAGATTCAGGTGTGGATTACAGGCTATTGACTTCTATGAGAACAGTTTCTAAACCGCATATGCGTGAACAGGATTAAATCCTGAGCTAATGCTGTTCTGAACCTGATTTAAACATGACATGAACCACTGAACTACTGTATCAATTAGCTGTGAAACCTTTACTTCAGTCCGCACCACATATGTGAATCGGCTCTAAAAGTTGACACTGGTTAAAATTCCCCTAAACTCTAGCGAAAACTAAAAAAAAAAGGCTTTAGGCTGCTTTCACACTGATCGTTTTTTCATGTGCTTTTGTTCAGTTTAACCTCCCTGGCGGTATTCCGGAGTGTAGCTCGGGGTAAAGTTTCAGCACCACAAGTGTTAACCCCGAGCTACACTCGGGAATACCCTGCAGCGCTGCTCTGGGATCTCTTCTGCACTTACCTTGTCCTTCGCTCCTGCGATGTCCCTCCTGCAGTGTCCCGTGCAATGTCTTCCGGCGGATGTCGGCATCTGTCTTCTGGGTTCCGTTCCCTGCGACATTAGGACGTACGGGGACGGAACTGTGGGAAATTTGAAAGTTGTAAAAGTGACATTCACTAAAATCACGTAGTAAAACATTACTGTATCAAAGCATTTCACATACATTTTGTCCCTAGTGCTTTGTCCTGTGCCCTGCCTGCATTTTTACTGTTCTTTCTGCCTGGAAAATGAGAAATGTCCATGGCGTCCAAAAAGCATCCCTTTTAGGTCAAAAGTGGTTTTAGACCAGCTAGAGAACAGCGAAAGCAAATTAGAATCACTTGCAGAATTGAGTGATGATTTGTAGGGAAATTCGTCATCAGACACTGAAAACGATTTTGCGACTTTGCGCTATATTTCAAATTTCAGTGTGTTTAGTTTGATTATATTTAATTAAATGTATTATTTTTATGATTATTTATTAAATTATAATTTATGATTTTGTATTTAAAATTTTAACATACCCGGGATGTTTACTAGACTTGTTCGGACAGATTTCAGTGAGTTATACCTAAAAATTACAGGCCTACGATAAAATACATATTTCCATGCAAAAAAAGTACCGCTTTGAGCACAGAAATATGAACATAATCAGACTGCTAGGGAGGCTACGGACTCTTTTACACTGGTCATTTTTTCAGTTAAAAAGCGTAAGAAAAATGAATCTCTTTAAATTCTATGGAACTGTTCACACCTGTCACGTTTTGTGTGTTTTTTTTTTTTTTTTTCCCCTGCTTGCTACATTTTTGCCGCATGTTTAAATGGCTTTCATACTGATCAGTCTTTGATGTGCTTTTTGTTAAAGTATGAAGAGTTCCATTTTTCTTTCACTTTTAACTCAACAAAACCTAAACATGTGGAAGCAGTCTTAGTGACATTTTAACATTCATACTTTTAGGAACACTTTATTAAAGCTGAACTATACTCATCTTGGCTCGTGTGATACGGCGGCTGCAGAAGTCTTTTGAGCAGCTGACTTCCGGGTCTCGAACGCTGGTTGCTTTCATTTGGCTTGGAGGGGATGATGTCACTCCTGTGTGTGTGGGAGTTCAGTCAGTTAGCTGCGAATGTGGGGCTCACTATACAAGGGCAGAGAAGCAGGGAAGTAATTTAATCACTTGCCTACCGGGCACTTATACCCCCTTCCTACCCAGGCCAATTTTCAGCGCTGTTCCACTTTAAATGACAATTGCATGGTCATGCAACACTGTACCCATATGAAATTTTTATAATTTTTTTTCACACAAATAGTTTTCTTTTGGTGGTATTTAATCGCCGCTGGGTGTTTTTTTTTTTTTTTTTTTTTTTTTTTTTTCCTGCACTATAAACAAAAAACAAAAAAAAATTTAAAAAACAGGTTTTTCTTTGTTTCTATTGTAAAATTTGTCAAACAGGTAATTTTTTTCTCCTTCACTGATGTGTGTTGATGAGAGGTGGCACTAATAAGCATTTGTGGGTGGTACCGCTGTGCACAGGTAGGCAGCACTGGTGGGTGGCACTGCTGGGCACTGATCATCAGGGCATTGATGATTGGTGCCAATCCGTCCCCTGACAATTGTCGGTTATCGGCAGTACTTTCCTCGCGCTGTAACAGCTTAAGGAAAGTGCAGCCGAGCAACTGCATTTATTTGTGATCTGCTGTTTCATTGGACACTGCTGATCACACGGTAAAAGGCCGCTGTGATTGGCCTTTTACCACACCACGGATCAGCTGTGTCCGTAGGACACAGCGATCACGGAGATCGTCGGGGGCGTGCAGGGGGGCGCGTTCTGGGAGGACGTCATATGACGCCCTCCCAGAACTGTACAACCGTGCTGTAGCTGTCTTTCACCTATATCGCGGTTGGCAAGTGGTTAATGCAAAAAGAGAAAAAGCATGTTTCTTCTGCATTAAAATTCCTGCCTGTTTGCCCATTTTTAAGTTTGCCCTAAAATTCCACTTTAACATTTCATTTTTCACTTTGATATACAACTGTTGCTTTTGAATTTTCACTTAAATGCACAATTGCAAAATTTTGAGTATAGTGATTTCACATACCGTATTTTTCGCACCATAAGACGCACTTTTTTCCCCCCAAAAAAGGGGGGAAAATGTCAGTGCGTCTTATGGAGCGAATATGGAGCGGCCGGTCCGGTATTTCCACTGCCGCCGTGTCAGAATACCGGGCCGGCCGCTCAGCTCTACAGCGGGACCTTATAGAGATGACTGCTGACCTTTGGGGAGGGGGGGGAGCGGGTACCTGAATTTGACAGATACTCGCTCCCACTTCCATGGAGTTGTTCTTTCATCTTACCCGTTCCTCTATCCAGCGGCGCGGTCTTCCCGGCTTCTATAGTGTGGGCATGACAGCCGGGTGCCAAGTGCGCATGCGCAGGAAGCGGTGCTTTTTGTGAATGGTAAGGCGGTACCTGGGACACATGACAGATCCCAGAAGCCGCCGGACCAATCACAAAGCGCAAATGCTTCTCGCTCATGCGCACTGGGCACCCGGCTGTCATGCCGAGTGCCATTACAGAAGCCGGGAAGACAGCGCGCGGCTGGATAGAGGAACAGGTAAGATGAAAGAACAACTCCGCGGAAGTGGGAGCGGGTATCTGTCAAATTCAGGTACCCGCTCCCCCCCCTCCCCAAAGGTCAGCAGTCATCCCCTGTACTATCCAGTCTCTGGTCATCCCTGTGCTGTGTCCGCAGTCTCTGGTCATCTCCTGTACTGTGTCCGCAGTCTCTGGTCATCTCCTGTACTGTGTCCGCAGTCTCTGGTCATCCCCTGAACTGTGTCCGCAGTCTCTGGTCATCTCCTGTACTATGTCTGCAGTCCATTAGTTCAGAATTTTTTTTTCCTGTTTTCTGCCTCTAAAACCTAGGTGCGTCTTATGGTCAGGTGCGTCTTATGGAGCGAAAAATACGGTATATAGAAAAACGCGGCTCAATTTAAAAAAAAAAAAAATTTTCAAGACATGTTGTAAAGTGCTGGCAGCTGGTTAGTTGACTAATAGGCTAGCATGAAATAATTTTATTAATATGATGTGCTTTTTGTCATGTACACTAAGAAAAGTATTTTATAGTAATCTTAATTTATCTTATGTATAGTAACAATTTAAATTGTCTTATTCTGTTTTACAGGATGATCTGGCTATAAGGATTGATGATGCTTTGGTGATCGCAAATAAAAATTATTCTCAGCTTAACAGTGCCATGCAGGTACACAGCGTTTTGAAAGCTGTTGTAACATAAGTCTTTGTATCCTTTGTGACAGAATTATATACCTATGTCCTTTGGGTATACTGGATGATTCATTGAACTGTGGTCCAGCCAGATCTGAAACATTTCTCCACATACAGAATCTGTTCATGTTGGCCGAGTGCATCTTGTGGGCATCTTTATTACTTCACAAAAAGCAAAATAAAGCCTTGCAGAATAGTAACTCAGATTTTATTTTACTTATTTTGCTGTGATAAGTCTTTTTAGATATATGCACATAGTTGTTTTGAGCTTTTTTATCATTGTGGCTGGATTTTCACTGAACATTGCAAAAAATCAGGACTGAAAACTGACGCATATATTCTTGTTTTTTCTTCCCTTGTAAGAAGATTGACACTAGCAGGATCACAATTTTAACATACTGTATTTTTCTTTTCCATTGAGGGAAAACAGGACTATCATCTTAAAGAGTAACTTCAGTTTTGTGGGGTGCGGAGGAATGGTAAATGAAAAAACAGCATGTACAATTGCTACACACGTCATATTGTAATTGAATGTTGTTAAAAATTCACCCTTCCTTTTCACTCCTCAGCGCTGTAATTTTCTGCCCTGGTCTCCAACTCGTGACAAAGGACCAGCCAATCTCACTCTTTGCTGTTCACTTGTGTAACAATGCCACTCTCAGCTGCACCCTGCACAAAGACTTTCAAGCTTGCGGGACCGCATTCTAGGTGCCAGCAGCCTGAGTGGTTGTCAAGGGGCTAAGTAAAACAAATAGCGCTTTAAATTCCGAACTGCCACCAGATAGCTTTGGACCTATCCAGCCTGCACAATATTAGCAAGAACAAGTATGAAAAATAAATGTCTGTACACACACTGTCACCACAGACAGGTATATTCAGAGATTTATCAAATACTGTAGCACTCTTCAAGAGAGAGGATTCTTTAGTTTGCATTAAAAGCCTTAGGGCAGTTTAAGCACTTTTTGTCAAAATAGGATTTAATAGAAAACAAAGGTCAAAATGATGCAAATAAAATATTTACAGTAAAAAGGTGTTACAAAGAAACCATGAAGCCTCAGAGAATTAAAAAGGAGCTGAAAATGAATACTTATAGAATCCTTGGTTTTAGCAGAGTCCAGTTGGTCAAGCAAAACTGTGCCGTAGCTCTCTCAAGTGCGGTTAGGTGTTCCTTAGTTGGTGTTAAACGAGAGCTATCAACAGGTCCTGCCATTCCCTTTTTCTGTGGTATCAAAGGGGTGTTGACCGAGAATATCTGACCAATTCTGTTTAAGAGGTGGGTTCTGGGAGGTCGCAAAGTTTATGACCAAGTCTTAAATTCAGTTTCTTATTAGAATCCATATTGCTGAATACCTACTGTTTACTGTCGGCTACCCTGCAGATTATTGTTCAACATGCAATTGGCTTCAAAATGGATATAGCAAATCTCAGATATCTATTTCTTATAAGAGAGGTGTGGAGGCCTAATCCACTCTGCTACCTCCTAGCGTAGGTATGTTTCACTTCAAATTGCTACCCAATAACCGAGAGAGGTGAATGTCTATATTCTGGCTGTACTGTAATGATTTCATGAGTTATGAAATACGCTGAAGTTTTAGAGCAGGGGTGCCCAACCTTTGACCCTTGGAGCCCTCTGATTTCAGCTTCGGAGCCCTCTAAGTTTTGCTCTCGACCTCAAAGCAGGGAAGAGCTCTTTCTATTCTAGCCTGCTGGTTTGTTGTGCTTTCTGAAAGAGCAACAAAACTCTTGAATGCAGGAGTTTTTGTGCACTTTCAGAAAGTGCACCACACCTGAAAGATATAATAGAAGTCTATGGCAAAGTGCAGCTAACCCACAGGAAAGCTGCAGGGTATAGCACAGTGCATCAGTGTGAAAGTAGCCTTACAGGGGGCTCAGGACAGTAAAAGTTCACTTACGTTTGCTGTTTGAGGGGAGGGTATAACCCCATAGTTGAGACGTGTTTTTACCACAAACCCCCAGCCACTGGTGTTGCATCAGGGGTCACAATGGTGACCCTGCCCCATTCTCCAGGGGGCTTGTGCAGCCTTCCTGTCACATTCTTTTACACTTGGGACAGGAAGGGTGGCATATACAAGAAACTGAAGGAAGGAGGGGAGAAAGGTTGCTTGGCTATGCCTTCATATGACAAGATCACATGGGTGACTTGTGATGTGAAACAATGGCTGTCATACACAGCTATTTGTGTGCCCCGTATGCACGAACATTACACGGGTACTCGTTCAAATACTCTGATATTGTGAAGTGAATGGTCTATGGCTTGTTCCTGTTTTCCTTGAGACCTGACACTCCATATCTGCTTACCCTTGTGTAACGTGGCTGCCTCCTTGGACATTGCATCTGTCTTATCTCAGCATTTATCTGACCCATTACTGACCCTGGCTTGCTGACTGGAATGCTGTCTCCCAATTCTGTACTTCATTGCTTGGCTGTTGCCGACCCCAGCTTTCTTCCAGGATTGTGTCCTGTCTGTGTTTTCTGTCGTATGCTGTCTTACTGTTGCTGTCCTTGGCCTGTTCCGTGAATCCTCCTACTGTCCCTTGCTCTGGTATCAAGCTTTTCCTGTATCCCCGCCTTGTCCAAAGATCTTTAGCTTTTTCAGTTTTACTCTTCCACAGTGTGGCTTCTGCCAGCCTGCAGCCACAGCATTTGTGCCACTCCGTTCCCTCACACTCTCTCCACCTTCAGAAACATTTGTCAGAGGAGGTGCAATGGAAGCCCCCTCAACTTCCAGTCTCCACCAGGTATGCGATTTTGCGGAGCAGTGCTTGCTCTGCATGCACAGGCCCCAATTTGACTCTGGGTTCTCATACATGTGGTTTCTACTCCCAACACTGATGGCACAGAATCCAGCCTACATCTACACTATCCTGCCTCCTGCTAATGCTGTCTCCATTGATATCTTCTCGCACATTAAATACATTTCTTGATGATTTCTATGCGATTGGACTATCTCTCCTTGTTCTACTAGTTACTGTTCTACATGCTAAACACTTTCCACAGCTTAAAAAACCTACTTGATCTAAAAAAGTACCCTTTTTTTTTGAAGGGGGGTCTATCATGTTTTTGGCTAATTTGTTTCTCAATGTAGGTGGTTTCGTATAAATGAATTGTGGTGTCTTAGGCAAAATTCCTTTGAGGATCTTGTCCTGCAAAAGCATTGGCCAATATTTCTTAAACGTTTCTTCTACCAACCTATGTTGTTCAGAATACCCCGTAATAAACTAAATTCTATAATATTCACTTTCTCTTCCTTCGTTTTTAGTATTCCTCTTTCCATTCTCTATACCATATTTTGGATTCTAATTAGATCTTTATTTTTATAGCCTTATTCTTCTAATCTTTGTATTAAAATATCTGCTTGTTCCTCATAATCTTCTTTCTCATCACAATTACGTTTGATTCTCATTAGCTGACTTTTTGGGAACGTATTTAACCATATAGGATGATGGCAACTGTGTTTATGAATGTATCCATTCCTTTCTACATCTTTAAAGTGGGTGTGAGTATACAGCTTATTTTCTTTTTTATGTATGGTGAGATCTAAAAAATAATGGACTCCCCATCTTCATTTTCTGAAAAGGAGATGTCATACTTATTGCTAATCTCTTTGATGAACTCTGAGGGATTCCTGTGATCCCTTCTATACAATATAGATATAATCGATGTATCTCTTGTATAATTTTAATTCCGATCTCTCCATGGATTAACTCTTACTTTAAAAAGGCTGGCTACTGAGGGTGCATATTTAGTACCCATTGCAATCCCTTTCCTTTTGTTTATAGTATTTACCTCCTTTGCCAAAAGATATTACTCATAGCTAAATCCAGGGCCTGTTTTAAAAAAATCTTTGTTTTTTTCTTCAGATTATTATTTTTCTGTAGAGCTCACATCACAGCATCCAATGCATCATTCTGATTGATAATAGTTTACAACAGACCTTGAAATTTCCACTCGCCTGCTCGAATTTGGCGAGTGGAAAAAATGTGGAGGCGAGTGTGTGCTGACACCCACGCTAAGGAGAGCTCGGTGCTCCCCTTTTCCCGCTATCTCCCACCACCTCCCCTGCCCACAGCCTGGCGAGAGTCACGTGTGCTGGGTGGGCGGGGCCTCCTCCGAGCTTCATTCATAAATCCTGAGGCCAGTGACTGAGCCGCAGCTTGGAGCGGGAGGTGACGAATAGAGAGCAGGAAGGCCACGCCAGGCAGGACCTTAATACATTCCTAACTACACAATAAAATGTATAAATCTTAGAAAGTTTGAAATGTCAAAGAAAATTACAATATCCTAGCACAGTCTCACCATTCTCAGAATCTTGATTTTGAGGACACCCCAGTGGGATGCAGTTGGGAAAAGAAGTATTTCTGGGCAGGCAGGCGCCAGAATTTAACTGAGCATCAGCATCTCTGGTGGAAATCTTTTCCTTCAAAATGGCAGCTGGAAGTTCTCAGCAAAATGGCCACACGTAGCAAGTGAGGTATAGTGCAGTATATATTAGCAACAGGGTAGATAAGAGATAGTTTAGAAGTTATAGCAGTCTTAGAAGCTGTTGCAGAAGTTTTAGCAGATCAGAAGATTGGAAGCTTGGAAGGTGATGGATTGTAGATTGATTTTCACTTTGAGGT